GGGACGTGGGCGTTGATGTTATGCTCGACGAAGAGGGACAATAGGAAGAGGAGGGAAAAGACTGGGAATTCCGAAGACATGAATCGGATGAAGAGGGCGGGGACTGCAATGCTGCAATCAGTGAGGACAGGGAGCGAAGAGGCCCTCACTGTTGGCGAATTCGAAATCCCTCAAATCAAAGGTCAACAAAGCCGTCTTCATGACAGTTCCCAAATCCAATCACCGCTGCCAGCAAAAGCCTCCTCTGTGCACACCATCCTTGGCTCCGAGTCGAACCTTCGTGACTGCGAGAACCCGCTTGGTGGAGCTCTTCGACTACCAGAACTTTTGAGAAAGCGCAACGTCATGACCTGGTGTACTAAGCTCATGCGGAGTGATGCTGATGGGTGCGTCAACGTTGAAGTTGCTGTATACAAAAAGGGTGTGGCTTGAGGATCGTCAGATGAAAGCTCACTCGTCCACCGTTCCCAAGCCCAACTACGTTCAGAGCAAGCTCTACCTCATTGCATTTGGCACCGATCAGCTCTCCATTGCGCACCGGCCAGTGCTGGAAAGGTATGCATGTTTAGTTGCGTCCCGGTCTCGTCGCTAACTATTCCTTAATACTTAGGTCAATATTGCTATGCTTACAATCCTGAACTATCCCTCCAAGTTTCAAGATAACGCTACCGGACCTTGGCCCATTCAAAATTATCCATGTGTCCAAGCAAATGGTCGGCTCAAAGTATCTGGTGTCAAAACCGGAGAACTTGCAAATGAACGAAGCAATGGATTGCCAAACATAACTGTACCAAGAATCTCTTTCCCCTCTTCAGTCTCCCGAACATTCTCTATCACGTTAGAATTTGGGTCAAGAATGAAGGTCGAGATCTTGTACTCGTCTGACACACCTCCCCGGGTTGCAAGATGCTTGTATCTGCAACATGTGCAGAGACCTCGGCCTGAACACTCGCATATGTGTGTTTTCAGGACACTGAGGCAGGTGCCGCACTTCGTGCCAGAGTGGATTCAGCGGTGTAAAGATGCCGGCATTGAATCTGTGTACAATATCATGGAGATGGAGGACGACAAGTGAACAGCACTCTTGGAAATGTCCCATGCGCAGATGTAAGCATTTTTGCACAGGTGTAACGTATCCTCATTTGATTTTACGGGCATTGCTACGTTCGTCAACTCGTACCAAGGAATGATTTCTGTATTTTGGTAAAGCTGTCCACGTTATTGTCTTATCTGTAGTAATTGTATTGTAGTTCAATGAATGATTTATGAACCTGCTATGCAGGAAATTCTTATAATTCACACTAAATAACATGAATTACATCGTCCAACCAAGAGAACGACCTAAGATAGGCGTCACCAGGAACAGGGACCTTTATGTAAGCAACTTTGTGACTAAACGTCGGGCCTCAAATGCCGCCGCCAGAAAAAAGCAATGGAAAATCTGATACCTGGGAAATGAATGTATTGATGGTGGCTACCTTTGACAGGAATCAGATTAAAAATTCATGTAAAATTGATGAAGTTATTGATGAAAAATGTTTTTTATCCCAAAAGTGCTTCTTTTGTTATTCTAAGTTCTTTGGCAACATTTTACTTTTTCTGACCTCCAGATTTTGTGCTGGCACAGCCACCCGACTATGATGTCATATTCTATAATAGGTAGGACCCTTGATTCCAATGGTGGTATCCTGTCTCCCGCCTCCTCCCACCTGACATGGAAGCTACTGTATCACTACAAAACTCATTCAATGTATGGATTCCGTATCTAGTTATGTTCTATCATCATTTACATTATCTTATAGGTGATCTACGGCTCTGCCTGGTGCTACAGAGGTACAAACAATTTTTTTCCAGCAGATTTTGCAGCTTATATAATGTGACTGTCATGGCTTACATAAGGGTCCCTGTTCCTGGTGACGCCTATCTTAGTCAAACCAGATCAGCATCATCAGGTGCCGTCAAGGGATTTCTTCGCTGAAATCGGAGAGAGAAAAGTCAGAATAGAAGTAGTAAGTGTAAAGAAATTTGCGACATACATGAAGGACAGAGTGCATCAGAACATCTGCGTTGGGATGCTGTAACGAGCATGCCGACGGAAACCCGACTTCCACTCAACCCAACAAGCCACAGCCCGGAAGCCTACGGATTCCGATTTCCAGTTTCTATTTCATATTCCATTTCATATTCCATTTTATATTTCACTTCTCCATATTAATTTATCAATAGCCCGACATCGGTAGCGAACATGTCATCGGACCCCATCGGCTACCAACCAGTAGAATACATCCTCCGACAACCCTAGAATGTAGACCACTCCGAGTAGGAACTAGATCGGACTCCTAACTAGTATATAAGCCTTAGAATTACACTGTAGATACTCAGTTCGAATATCAACTTGGTTCAGCTCAATATCTCTCTCTCTGACTCTAAGTCTAACTCTCGTTCTCCAGTCCACGGACCTCCGATCCGTTGGACTTATCTCTTACCTCGTCCCTGCCACTCCACGGACTTCCGTCCGTATCCATCTTAGGGCTTCGGCTCAGGGGTGACATTGCTAATAGCTTCGCCTACGCCCGACGCATCCCACGGCATTTCGCTACGTGCACTTACCGCCGCAATCCTATTGGCACGATCCTAACAGTATATTCGAACTCAAACCCTTGAGTTGAAATTCTTCCTAACCATGTCTTCTACTTTCACTGTCCCTCCAGAAACCAGCCGCAACTCCACGGTCAACAACCGAACCTACACCATGGACGATATCCCTGCCTCTGCTTCAAAAGAGGGTCCCCTTCTCTTCGGATCGGATTCTGCCCCTCGCCAACAATCCCATAGGGAAACCTACCTTCACAGTGGCTTCACTGCTCGCCAATCCGATGCTAACCGATCGCCTAACCCCTTCCTAGCCCAGCGATCAGAATCCAATGGCTGGGGTGAGTATCGAAGCGACCCCCCATGGAACCCAACTACCTCTCTGTTCGATGACATCCCAGGTCGCGATGACGACGACGACCAAGGTTCGGAAGACAGGGAATTCCCCCCTCACATGCCAATGAATGGCCGTGGAAACCCATCGGGAAATCCTGGCGGTGGCCCACCCAATCCAGGTGGCCCTGGAGGTCCTGGTGGTCCCGGTGGTCCTGGAGGACCTAACAACAATCCTGGTAACAATCCTAATCCTCCCAATAATGACGCCCAGATCCTGATTCAACTCATGAATGTCCTCCGCGGCGTCTCCGATGCTGTCAATGGCAATCGACAACGTACGGTATGCACCAAGGTCAAGGAACCAGATACCTTTGACGGTTCGGACTCCCGAAAACTTAAAGCCTTCATCGTCTCCCTCCAGTTGAACTTCAACGACCATCCCGACACCTTCCGATCAGATACGGCAAAAGTCAACTACGCTATCTCCTTCCTTTCCGGTGTCGCCCTTGACTGGTTTGAACCGGATATCCTCCACCCTAATCACCGCAACCCCCCTGCTTGGGCATATTCCTATACCGCTTTCCTTTCAGAACTCCGCACCAACTTCGGCCCCTTCAACGCTGTTGGTGATGCCGAAGATGAGCTTGAAAATCTTCGGATGCGCGACGGAGACCGCATCATGAAGTATATTGTCAAATTCAATCAGTATGCTGCCATTATTGGCTACAGCGACAACTCCCTTCGTCATGCCTTCTACCATGGCCTTTGCTCTCGCATCAAGGATGATATGGCCCACCACGGGAAACCCGATAATCTCCGTGATATGCGGAATCTCGCTCAAGAGCTCGATGCTCGCTACTGGACTCGGAATGCCGAAATCTCCCGAGAAAATCACAGTAACCCATCTTCCTCTTCCAGCAACAGCAACAAGGCGAAGAGATCTAACTCTTCGTCTCCCAACTCCAACTCTGCGAGCCAAAAGTCCTCTCATTCGGGCTCCGCGGGATCATCTTCGTCTTCCCCCAACAACTCTTCCTCTTCCAACCCTAAGCCCTACGCTGACAAGCTAGGCAAAGATGGCCGTCTTACTCAAGAAGAAAAGGACCGCCGTCGGAAAAATAACCTCTGCATGTTCTGCAGAGGTAAGCACAAGACCAAAGATTGCAACAAGTGCAAAGCTGCAGCCACTGCTCGGGGTCATGCAGCTGCAGCTTCTCCTGCCCCTACTCCCAAGTCCTCTGCCTCTATTGAAACGGTTCCGTCAGAATCGGAAAACTAGAGAGCAACCCTGTATCCTCCGCACTAGGACAGGGTTGCGTTGACTGTCACAGTGCACTGGAGATCGTAACCCTCAACGCCGCCACTCTTTCCAATCATTCCCTAACTGTCTCTCTCTCGTCTGAAGTCAGCTTCGGATCGGAGTCTGACGGTTCACCCATTTCTACTATCCTTCGTTTTCTTGCACTCGTTGATTCTGGCTCTAGCCACTGCTTTGTTGATTCGAAGTATGTTGAGGATCACAATCTCCTTACCAAATCTATCCCACCTGTCCAACTTCGGCTTCTCGACGGCTCCGTCGGATCTCACATCTCCCAATCCATTTCCCTTCCAATCCGTTTCCCTTCCGGAGACATCCTTCCTATTGACTTCTACGTCACTCGTCTAGATTCATCTTGTAACGTCATTCTGGGATACAACTGGCTCTCCCGCTACAATCCGTCGATTGACTGGGTAAAGCACAGTATCACTTTCCGTTCACCATTATCGGTTGTTTCTTCATCAAGCGCTTCCGCGGCTGCCGACACACATGTGCCAGTCCGCTCGGACTCTTCCAGTCCAATCCAACCATCCCAATCATCATCTTCCACCCCAAAATCGAGATCCCGATGGGCTCCGCTGCCTTATGAACCTATCTATTCCTACCCTACCATTCCTTCCTTTGGTGCTTCGGCCACCCCCAAGATATCTATTATTTCGGCTGCCGCTTTTGTCCGAGCTTGTGCAGAAGAAGGGGCTCAGCAGTTCACATTGCAGCCTTCTATGCCTAGTGTCAATGGCAAGGTGACCTCCGCGGCTCCCGCTAACTTATCCGATGTCCCACCGGAGTACCATGAATTTGCTGATGTATTCAGTGATTCCCTTTCTGAAAAGCTCCCTGAGCATCGCCCTTACGACCTCAAGATCAATATTGAGGAAGGCTCCACCCCTCCACTCGGACCCATCTATTCCCTTTCTGAATCTGAACTAAAAGCCTTACACGAGTTTATTGACGATAACGTCCATAATGGTTTCATCACTCCTTCCCGCTCTCCGCACAGAGCTCCAGTACTGTTTGTCAAGAAGAAAACCGGTGAACTTAGACTCTGTGTAGATTATCGTGGACTTAATAAAATCTCTAAAAAAGACCGTTACCCCTTGCCCCTCATTTCTGACCTCCTCGATTCCGCTCGTCTCTACACCAAGCTAGACCTTCGTCATGCCTATCATCTCGTCCGCATAGCTGAGGGTGATGAATGGAAAACTGCTTTTCGGACTCGCTACGGCTCCTTTGAATGGCGTGTCATGCTATTTGGACTCACCAATGTTCCCACGGCTTTCCAACGCTTCGTCAACGACATCTTTTCCGATATGCTCGATGTATCTGTCGTCGTATACCTTGATGACATCCTTATCTACTCCGGCAATCCCGACGATCACCGAAAACACATAC